CCAATGAAAGAAAACTCGGGCATTATTATATTTTTTTTTGTATTATTAAAAGAAATTTAATATAATTTTTTAAATTAAAAAATTCAATCTCTCTATTAAAGACACTGAGGCAGGTGCTAATACTGTCAGACATACCCTTTTGGCATGAGTTTTACATAGAATTTAAGATTTTATGCATTGCTTCGACATGTTAAGAAACCATCTTTTCATACTTTACAATAGCAATAAGTCCCATACAATATCAAATATCCTCTTTAAAAAAAAAAAAAAAAAAAAAAGAAAGAAAATTAAATATATTAGACTCTGATTGCCAAAATGCCATTTTATACACAAAGCTGCTAATACAATATACAGTTCTTACATTATTTAAATTCTTTTTACATCAAATAGGTTTCATCAGGTTGTGTTTGTACGTCATTTACTACTGATGGATGGAATGAGGAGTTATTGCAGAAGGCTTGCCATGGTTTGTTAGTAACCTTTCCATGCAGCAGTCACACTGAGCTGTACCAGGGGTACTGACACCAGCCCTGCACTCCAATCTATAGGCTGAAGATGTAGAGGTGACAATACTAAGGCTCCCCTCCAGCTGTGGGTGCAGAGCATTGCACTGGTGTAGGTTTGGGGACAGGTATCTTGAGCAGGATCTCCACTACCACAGCTTCAGTGGTTGAAATATTCTAGGTTGTCATTTCGCCACATCAGATGTTGCCTGAAGAACCCAGTTCTAATTGTGAGGTGGAACTGAGAAGCCCACTACTAGTTTGGCCAACGTGAGAACAGCAGAGTAAAGCTGAACAGCCAGAGCAACCAAATTCTGTTCCACAGCCACAGGCAAAACAAAAGAAACATGTAAATACCAGCTGTGTTCTGTACTAAGAGACCTTTCTGCTACAAGCATGTTCCAGGTTCTGCAATAACAAAGTAGGTCAAGGTGATTTAGTCAATTAGGATGAAGACCCTGTTAATTTCCTTTCTGTGTTTAGGAAGAGAGGAACTGGTGATCATGACAGAAACCGAAAGAGCAGGTAAAAACTTCAACATCTGGGAGGCTCTGAACTGTTATCCCCTTGGAAAACAGTCTCCAAGTTAAAGAACAGCACTGTATAGTCACCACAGACCTTACAGAGAGCAAGTTACCTTTAGCAAGTATGATAAGGCACAGAAATATCCAGACATAGTGAGAACACCTTCCAGGACGTGGACAACAGTTCATCTATGGCTCACTGAAGACCAGTGCTATTGCTTTCTTGGTTAAGATATTCCTCTTTCATGCTATTGCTGGTTTAGTTTCAGCAGGGAAGATTTAGGTAAGCAGAATTTCAAGATTAAAGGGGAAGGGCACTAAACAGAAGTTGTAATGCCATTTGGGAGCTTGTAAGGGCTTCCAACCCCATGAAATAAGACCCTGCTCAATAAACTGGAGAATCCACTGAGTATTGTCCTGATTTATTATTGCTATTGCCCTGCCATGCTCTTCTTCCCTACCAGGAGTTTCTCATCCACATGGTTCTTCAACCACACCTGGAAGGTGGTACAGAATCACACCAGCTAGAGTCAGTTCTTCCAAAATCTGGGAGGGTTTTAAGAGTCTGGAGCACCACAGAAGTGAGACTAAGTGGGCTAAAATCACATCACTTAGTGTGTGAAATACAGATGCAGGCCTGACATCAAACAGGTCCCAGCAATGGATTTTAAGCCCTTATCCAACATTTCATTGCTGAGACTTTCTAGGTTGAGCTCAGTAAAGTGACCTTGAATCTGTACTCAGATGTTTGTTGAGCCTTAAAACAGAAGCATAACTCCAAAACCCCAAATCTTCCTCTATTAAACCAAGTGCTAGATATGCTGATCACAACATGATTTCTAGTTTCTACAGCTTTTTAGCAATATTCATATCCAATGAAACCAAGTGCCTTCTGCTTTGTACCTCAGAGCTTTCCAGTGGGATGGTCTTTAAAACAAACAGATACAAAAGCCCCACTATTGCTGTAACACTGCTAAACTGTCTGACAAAAAACCCTATTCCTGGAGGTAGGCTCCTACAGTGCACATGTAAAAGTAACTGTGTGTTTATTACTTGTCCAAGAGCCTGTTTTTCTCTATAAAATAGTTTACCAGAAGCAGGTTAAATATCCAGTTTACAGAATTTCTGGTCCCAGACCTACAACCAACAGCTCTGCATGCAGCTTCACTTGCCAGCCCCTTCCCTGAGCAGTGCCCTTTATATGCAGAATGTCACCAGCACACCAGCAGGATTCTTCAATTCAGTCTAGGTCACCCTTCAACAACTTTCACAAGTCCCACTTTGATGCAGCTTCAGCCCAAAGCCAGTGGGAGATAAACACTTGGCATGGCTGTGGAACATATCATGGAATTGACTCCTTGATTACTGACTCTCTCATCTCAATAAGAATGGATTCCATTTGATTGGACAGCACTAGACTTTGCTGAGCCAGTTTGATAAAGCCAGAAGAGCTCAATTACAGCCAATTTTGTAATTTCAATGCTAAGTCAAATTAGGGGGGGTGGTTTTGTAATGCAGAATTTGTAATATTTTTTGCCTGATAGTAAATCAATTGGTTATTTGCTCAACAGGACAGCCAGAGTGGTGTGTCCTGGAATTTTATGTATAAACAGAGTGAAATACCAATGGACTAAAAGCTGTTTGTCTAAAATGGATTGGCTTCCTGAAGTTTGAATGTATTAACAACTCTCAATAAAAGCAAGCCTCAAACTACTTAACCTTATTGCATTCAAAGGTTTCCTTTCCATCTGCTTGGAGTTGAAGTGCTCTGAGAAGGAAAAGGACCCAACTTCTTCCCTGAAAGGGAAGGCATCAGATGGGCCCAAATTTTGCACCACCAAGAAGATAGTGGCACCAATATTTGTTACACTGAGTCCAGTATTCTCATTAGGATGAATGTGGAGAGAGTCCCCAGCACTACAGGGGAAGAGGGGCATCTGAGTGATCATCACCCCCTGTCCAGTCAAACCCAGGCTACACTTGGCAATAGCCCAGAATAATTTTCTCAAGGTAATCAGAAGACCCACTGTTAACCACACACCAATGTGGTAAAGCCTGTTTGGTTACCAAACCATCTTCTTTCTACTAGAACATGATTTTAAGATCCCCTAAGTTTAAGTCAAGTACAAGCAGTATTTTCTAGTCTTGCATTTAGCATGTGTTTCAATAATGGGGGAAGCCAAACTTCTTGGAATGTTTCAAAACATAAAAAATAACCTCCTGCTTTTGACTGAACTGAGGTGTTTAAAAAAATCAGATCATCTGCTATCATTTTCTAATTTGCTTCTAAAACTGCTGAGTGTAGAGAATGGTGTCTTCAGAACTAAAGAGGGTAAATTGTCAGCCTGGTAGTACCCTCACAGGTCCAAAAATGTTTCCTGCATGGCATGGTTGTGGTGTTTATGCAGCCACTTCTGCTGCCCCAAGGAGCTAAGAATGAGGAGCCCAGAGCCCTGCACCATAAAATACCCACCCCCAGCCATAGACTGGGAGCAAAGGGTAGCACTTAACAGTCACTGGCAGCCTAAGACAGCTTTTTATAGCCTGGAAAAAAAGGTTTTGAGGATGCCCACAGGAAAGTGTAGTTGCAAAGAGTGGTGTTGTCTAACAGCCACCAGCTAAGAGGAAGATGGGTAGAAGCTGCATTTGCTGTTGCCAGGCTGAAGCAACTACATGAGCTGGATTTAATCCATTGATGGCTTACAGAGACCCAAACAGGCTTCTGTTTTCAGAGTTTGGAATTTAAGCTGTTCAAGAAGACACATATTCATGCAGGCAAATAGTTACATGTGCAATAGCCTCTCTGTGTAGAAAAAGGGTTGAGGGTTTATAGTTACTTCTGTAGGTACAGTTTATGTCGACTGTGGCCAGTTCCTCAGAGCTGTCTCTCATTCTTGTCTCCCCCAGGTATGCAGAGCCTCCACTTGCTCAAGAGCCAATGCCAAACCCCCAGGTTACACCATGCTGGTGTTTCTCAGGTAGTTTGTCAGAGCCAACATGGACTACACAGAAACACTGGTGCTGGCTTTCCTAGGTACTGCACAGCCCTAGGCAACTGCCTTGCACACAGAGGCACTGAAGTCTTCTTCTGACAGCTACTGATCATTGCCGATGACTTCAGCATGGGAGCTGGAAAACCAGACCAAAAAGCCCCAACCTCCTGCCCTGCTGCAATGTTCCCTCCTGCCCTGCTGCAATGTTCAACTACCAAAGCAAGGATTTAACAGTTAGTCAGCCAAGGACTGCAGGTTAACGTGTTAACATAACATCTAGGGAGATTAGAAACAATTCCATGATGTTTCTAGACTTGTGTCAGCAAACCTTTCCTCCTCATCCCTCCCAAGCCCTGTGGTTCTGGAAATCCAGAAAAATCAGAATGCAAAGCCTGTAGTATCTGTGGTGAGCATACAGAGTAAACAGCATCAGTAGGAAAGTGAGATCAGCAAAAGTCTTTTCAGTTTTAACAAATTAAGAGTCTAAATAGTACAAATAAGGGTTTTAAATTACTTATCCCAATATAGACCTTTGTCAGTATTTTATTGCAGTGAAGTTCTATTGCCAGGGCCCCGTATTGCAACATCAGTTTTAAGCCTGTTGAGTGAAGTCTGTTCCAGGAAAAGTTCTGCTGGGAACCTGATGGCAGTCTGCAGGGACGAGTCTAGGAGAGCAGAACAGGACCCAGCCAGTACAGTTTGTGATGGTGAGCTGTCACTGCAAGGAGATAACACCTTGCAAACTTCCTAAAGCAAGCACAGCACCTACACTTGCTTGTTGCTCAGACCCTGCTAGTGCTGGATCCAGCTGCATGGAAAACAGCTCTGTCCACTTTTACAACCCCCCACCTGGGGGTGGATGTCTCCTCCAGGATGTGTGCATTGCACACAAGTGAGAATTTAGGTCTGAACTGTCACCTTCCTGAAGCTTAGTGACTTACAGCAAGAGGCTCAGATGCAAAGATTTTCATTCAGATCCTTACTTCATTGCAAGGCATCTCATGACTTGCCAAGGCTGGGGAGGCAGTGCTCCATACCTTCCTCCCCAGGGAGCAAGGCTAAGGCGACTCTTTTTACACCATCCCTGTGTGCATCCCTTCCTCTCCTGGGGAGCCTTGCTCCACCTGCATCACTCATTCAGCTGCAATGGAAGTCAATGGCAGGGTAAAGTACAGTTCAAGATGAACGTGGCCACTGCAGTCAGGATGTCCATAACCAGATTCTCCCTTTGGAATGCAAACAACCTTGCCCCTGCTATGGATCCAACCAGCCCACACTCGTCTTGTTTCCTCTGGGGTGAGAAACAGGTGAGACTAGGAAATCCTGCAGCACCCGTGCACCTTCTCTTCCATTTCCTCCATGGGAGCTTTGAATTTCAAGAGGGGAGGATCACCACTGGACACTGTGTAATACACTGAGGTCCCATTGGAGCTGTAGGGAGAAGTCCTGGATGCAATGAGCTGCGACTTGGCCTCACCCCCGTTCTCAGCAACCCCTCCCACGCCGCTGCTGAAGTGGGTGCTGAGGAAGGGGTGGTTGAGGAGTTTGGCTGCCGCCCGTTGCCGCTTCAGTTCCGACAGCGTTTGGTGGTTGTGCTCCTTGTAGGTAGCCCAGAACTGCTGCGTGTCAGGGAGCCCGGGGTTGTTGTAGGGCAGCATGTGGCCTGGGTTGCTCTCCGGGTCAGCCTGCATGCTCCAGATGTCCCCGTTGGAAAAGGTGTAGGGGTAAGTGCTGGCAGATGCCATGAGTCCATTCTGGAGGGGGATTTCAGAGTCACACTGGGTGCTTTTGTTTGCTAACTCTGGAAGGAGGGAGGAGTTCTCCAGCACTGAATTCTGTAAGAAGAAGACAAGAAAAAGAGCATCTTCCCCTGTTCCCCATGGCATGGTTCATCACTGTGACAACTTCCTAAGCCTGCTCACACTCGGCCTTTTCACCAGCCAGGTGCTGCAGCACAAACACTGAATTCACCCACTAAAAGGACCCTATAATGGTGTGAGCCCCAGCAAGGAACATGGAGTGTTAACTCAGAAGGACTTACAAAAAAAAAAAAAAAGATAGATAAGCATATTAATATAACATGACAATAACTGAATGAAAAACAACAGCAAAACAAGTTTACAATTCTTTTGTGATTACCAGCTACTCAGCTGTAAAGAGAAATGCACGTGCTGTTTCTTCTGAACTGGTTCACTAGGGCCTTATTTCAGAACTGTTTGTGCAGCTGTGAATCTAAAACAGCCCTTCCACTTGGGTGCAAACACTGATTCACCCACTAAAAGGACCCTATAATGGGGTGAGCCCCCGGAAAGAACATGGGGTGTTAACTCAAAAGGACTTACAAAAAAAAAAAAAAAAGATAGATAAGCATATTAATATAACATGACAATAACTGAATGAAAAACAACAGCAAAACAAGTTTACAATTCTTTTGTGATTACCAGCTAGTCAGCTGTAAAGAGAAATGCACATGCTGTTTCTTCTGAACTGGTTCACTAGGGCCTTATTTCAGAACTGTTTGTGCAGCTGTGAATCTAAAACAGCCCTTCCACTTGGGTGAGATATGCCAGTTTATGCCAAATGAGAATTTAGTCTTTTGCTTCCATTTGATGGATGAATTTTATTAATTTTTCAGCCACTTTCCTTCCCAGAGCACCCACTGCTTTTGAACCTGCACTACACCAGCCCTCCTCCTCCCATAGTACAGAAGAGCTTCCTTACAGGGTCTGTATTCTCCTGGTCAGACCGTGTCTCCCCGATTTCTCCAATGAGACCTGAATTTCTTCCTTCTTCTGCAGCCCCCAGTTGCTGCCAGACAATGGCCTCTTTCTCACACTCCTTCCTGTAGAGGTTTGTCCTGTCCGAAAGGCTGGCCCTCCTCACCACCTTCCTGCAGAACAAGGAAAAGGGGCATCGAAGCTGTGAGCAGAACATGACATTTCCTCTTACCCTGCAGCTCTTCTCACCCTCCCTCCTTGCTCTTCACAGCCTCTCCCACTGGAATGGAAGGTGAATTTAGCTTCCTGGCACCCACGCAAAGCAAAGGCACTTGTGTGGATATTAAAGGTGGGAGGAATTTAAATCTGCCTTAGATCTCATACAGCTCATTTCATGGATCTACTCTGCAACCAGGGGAGTAAATGTGGAGGGAAAGGGCCCACAGGTTGTTTAGGGGGTTTTGTGGTCTGCAGGTCTGCTTTGGTGTCCAGCAAATATCCTATCAAGACCTGTGCAAACTGTCTGAGCACAGTATCTTGTCCATGAGACATATTATTGAGAAGCTCAAGTTAATCCATTTGAAGCATCCAGCATCAGTGACCTAATAGGGTAAATTCTCACCACTTGGCCTTCTGTTCAGAGCAGTTCTTAAACCACCACATTGCAGGACCACTATCCCCCTGAGGAACATCACCTCTTCCTAGGGAAGGGACCACTCTTCAAAGAAGATCTGCCTTCAGCAACCAAAAACCAGCTCCTGCCTTTCAGAGTTCATTCAGAAAGGACACATGGGTTGTTCTTCACATGCTGACCACAGGGGCCTCTGCAACCACATCTGGGTGGCCAAGCTGCCCCTCTGGTGACCTGCAGAAAACCAGGCACTTACCCCCTGCTGCCAGTGCTGGAGGTCCTTCTACTCAAGGAGGATTTATGCCTCATCTGAGACTTCATGATCACATCGTGTTTGTGTTTCAACTCCAGAAGCAATACCTTGAACTCCTCCTCTTCACACAGATCTATGGCAAACACAAACCAAAACACTAATGAGATGGTTCAAATGTGGTGCCAGTAACACCACGGTGCCCCCTTGTTTATACAGCTACAAATGCTGGAAAGAAGAGAAGGGAAATTTAGGCAGATTAATGTGTTTAGACAAATAAATCCCTAAACAAATTAGGGGAGGCAGAATTATTTAGACACCTAAACGGGAGCAGAAAACAAGAGCAGCTGATGGCTACAGGGGCTCAGCTTTGTGGTGATCCAGATGCTCAGCTGGATTTTGTCCCATCTCTGCAGAATGCTGTGCCTTCACCCATGAAAGGATGAGGGATACATTGACCTCTGTCTCATTGCTTCAGGATGGGAGGAAAAGAAATTTCTGTGATTATCAGACTTTATTTTCCCTGAATACAGCATTTTTATTTAAATCTCCAAAACAAAAAAAGAATATAGGCAAAAGCAAAACAGACCAGGGTAGAAGATGAGAACTTTCAGCCTTTAAGGGATGCACAGATTTTTCAATTAAGTCTCAGAAAAATCTTTTGCCAAAAGAAAATGTGGCACAGGGTTGTAATATACATGGTCAGATGTTAACACTTCTGTTCTAAGGCTTGTGTTTGCTTTCTCTTCCCTTTCCAGCCCCTTATAGCTTACCACACTTCATTGCATCACAGAGAATTTGGACACCCAAGAGCTGCACTCAACAGCTGCTCAGGTCCAAGGTTAGAGTGTAAGAGCAGGGAGATTCCCAAGCACAGGTATACAGGGATAGCATGAGTGGAAACACACAGGAGAAAGATTTGGTCCTTGAGAAATTCCTTCTCCCTTGTTTTTGTGAGCAGGAAGAAGCGTTTTCAGAAGTAACAAGGTAGGCACTTTTGGAACTTCAGTCACAGTTCAAGTAACTGACTGCAACTTTGATTCTAAAGACACCTGAAAAATTAAGTCAATGCTTCTAAAAGCACCATGTGAAGACTCCACATGCTTAGGGAGAAAAGCTTTTCGTAGTGATTTCTTTTTGTCAAGCTTAGTAAACTCACCTATTGGCATCTCATCCAAAGATGTCCTGGCACTCAAACTAGCCCCGTGGGACACAAGCAACTCAGCCATCTGCATCTAAAGGAAGAGAAAGAAAACCAAGTTGGTACAGGTATTTTTGGCAATTGATTTCCTCCTCAAAGCTGAAAAGTTGGAGTAAGACAAGAAGCAATGGCATGCATGCTCAACTTGCTTCAGATGATTCTGGTACCTGCATGATGTTAGACATTGCTCCTGCCAAACTGCACAAACATACTCTCCCCAAATTTCTCAGCAACAAGTTCTTTTTTGGAGCCCCAAGGACATCACCTGACACTTTTCAGAGAGTCCAGCCCTAGCACAGATTTCTTTCATTTGCACAGGACTGAATAATTTTCCCAGGCAGAAAGAAATGTCACCCTCCTACATGACATTTAGAAAAAATCATTACCTGCCCCCAGAAAGCAGCAGCATGAAGAGGTTCCCAGCCATCCCAGTCCTTCACATCCAGGCTTGCCCCCTGGTCAAGAAGGACTTCAGCTGCATGCAGATAACCATTGGCTGCAGCTATATGCAACTAGGAGACAAGGAACAGAGCATGAATCACATGCAAAGACCACAAAAGGTTTTTTACAGCAAGTTTTAGTGGAATTTATTGGATAATATCCAAGACTAGATCTGGCCAAGCAGCATGTTTCACATCTGGTAGATGCATTTCCATCAGGTCAGAAGCAGGTGGTTCCTAAGACTCAATATTAGCTGCATGTAACCCTGTTTGGAGAGGAAACTGCTTAACAGTTCTTAAAATAACTTACACATACAGGTTAGAAAAATAATGTTTTCACATTTAAAATAATAGAATGGTTTGGGCTGGAAAGGACCTTAAAGATCATCTAGTTTCTACTCCCCCTCAGGGGCAAGGGCACCTCCCACTAGACCAGGTTGTTCCAAGCCCCATCCAACCTGCCCAAATCAAGGATTCTTAAGTGCTTCCCAATCTGAGGGAAGCAACACCATCAAAATGTAAGCCTGCAGTAGGGGACATAATCCACTGTAAACTTTGTGTTTGTCATGCCAGAAGAATCTCTACTCTTCTCCACTTACATGCTGTGGATGTGATTTTTGGATCAAATGTTCAGTCTGTTTTAGTTAAGGCTCTCTTTGTTCAAGTGCACTGCTACTCACACTAGAATTGTTTTCATCATTTGAAAATCAGGAGCATTGAAATCTTTGGCTCCTTTTGGTTAAGACTATCTGATTTTTCAGATACTAACTTCCAGCTGCAACCATCACTTTGAAGACACCAGTAATAGCCTCCCTTAGTTTCCCACAACACTTCCTGTCTCTGAAGGTTTTAATAATTGCCATCTGCTGTTGTACCTCTGAGCAAAACCTTGACCTATGTATGACTCTGAAGGCATGAACTCAGAGCTCTTCCTATTTCTACTGTGCTGAAGAGCAGAATTAAAGCTTCTTCCAAAAAATGTCCATGTGAGTTCCACAACACAGTTAAACATTAATCTAGAAATAAGTTCTGATGCTTCTGGCAAGTAGTTTCTACATAAATTTTCCAGCACGGGGTCATACCCTCCAGAGAACATATGAATTAACAAGGAATGACTCAGGGTTGATATGGAAATGGAAGCCAAGGTGTCTGCTTACATTTATGTATCTAAACCTTGTTAAAGGGGAAAAAATGTGTTAAAAAATAGTCATCCAAATTTATCTTGGAAGGAACTTGCCCTCCCCTTAAGCTTCTGGTATGTGCTACAGGTGACAATTCAGATTAAGAAACTCAAACACACTGCCTTGGTCTGGCCATCAAACAAATGACACCAAGTGGCTGGTGTATCAGTTGTGTCTGGACTCAAGCTTCAAATGATCAAGGTTGTGTGAAAGACCCATCCTGTAATGCAGCATTGCTGAACTTTCCCTAAGCTGGCACTGCTGTAATCAGGGATTTGAGAGTCATGTTTTCAGGGTCAAAAAGAAGAGAACAGGCCCAGGATTGCTCAGCCTTTTTGGTGCCTGTTCAGTCAAATCAATGCCAGCTGGCTTTGTGCTGTGTTTGTGTCTTGGTGCTCTCCTCTGCCCAGGGGCAGATGCCATCCTATGTGACTCAACACAGCATTCCAAGGACTTATGAGCCAGACACTGTGGAAAGCAGAAAGAAGAGGAGGCAGAAAGTCTCCAGAGTGCCCAATACAGATTCTGCTCCCATGAAAACCAGAGGACTGTCTCCTCTGTGGGAGTCAGGTCAGACAACAGGACTGGAGAGAAGCAAGACTTTGTGTGAGCTCTTTTCATCCTGTTTTCCCAGAGGTCAGGGCAAGTTCTATGTTCTGCAGCTCCTCATTGAGGGATTTCTTGGACTTTCATTTGGAAGCTGCTGGTACCAGCCACTGTCAGACAGGACCCAGGAGCTCAGCAGATAGGACAGAGCTCACATGGACAAGGGATTTGCTTCAAAAAGTCAGACACCAGGTTATGTCATCTGTACTCATGGACAGAGCCTGTTCCTACCTAACAATATATTAAAAGACGGAAAAAGAGCAAAATAGCTTCCTCACTCTTCTCAGTGACTCATGCATGTTGATTTTGTCCAAGTTCTGCCCCAAGGCAGGTTTCATAACCTGCGGTCTGAAGGAAGGCAGAAGTGAAGCTGCAGCAGTTTCACTCACCAGTGTAGCACCTTGGGCATCAGTCCTGTTCAGGTCTTGTCCAGTTGCAAGAATGTCATGAATGTCACAGATCATTATCTGCTCTGGAGCAGCCCGCATCTCATTGATCCTTTCCTGAGTAATTCCTGTGAAAATTCCAGTTACAGAGAGGAGTCAGAAAGGGTCTTTGTCTCCACTGGTTGAGTAAAATGAGACTTTATAATTCATGGTTGATATAACTTCACAGGGTTTTCAAAGGCCATGTAGCTGAGGGGACTGACAGTTGTCCTCCACCCTCATCATTATCTAGGTATCAGAGAATCTAGACAGACTCAGGTTCCAAGAAATGATGCCAGGTAGCAGCTCTCTTCCTTTCTCCAGAGGCAAATCAAGAGCTGAGAAACAAGGTAATTTTTAGCACTACATTGACCCATTTTTAATTTTTTTTTTGTTTTACACAAGCTCAGTCTCCTTACCTTGATAGGCCATGCAAGTCTCAATGACATCCAGAGTTGGCTCATCTTCACAGAGGTCATATGGCATGTTGCCATCTGCATTTACTGCCAACAGGTCTGCTCCACTGCGGGGAGAAACTGGAGTTACACAAGGAAAGACCTCAGATATCCAAAGCAGACAGTGCCAAACACTGGGACAAATGCTTAGCAAGAATTAACTGGGGCTTAATAGTTGCCCAAATGTCACCAAGATTTGTGTGAGATCAGAAAAACTTGAAGCATAGCCATGGATCTATGAATGGGGAAGATAAATTCCAGAAGTGGATGAAAGGCAGCTTTGCTACACCTCCTTCATGGGCTGTGGGGCACATGAGCCACTGAGCTGTTCCTGTCCTCTCCTGAGCCTGGCACTGGACAGGCCAGCAGCTCCTTGGTGATAGAAGTGATTATTTTGCTGAATTCCTGGATAACAATGCCAAGCAACTACCAGGTGCTTATTATCTGGGCATCTGGCAGTCCTTCAAACAAAAGTTCACAAGGAAAAGTTGTGAAAGATACAGGCTGAGTGGTGCAGGGAACCTTCCATCTAGCCAAGGGCACATTGACAAAAAATAGTGATTAAAAAATATCCTGCCAACTGGTGAATTTTTCTTTCTGGTTGTTGGAAAGTTCTGCTCCAAGACTGCTCTGTATCAACTCCAGGAGGTCACTCTTTGGAAGTAAAATTGCCAACGAAATTGATCACTGTCCCCATATTCCCACACAGCAGAAAATTAACACCTTCTGATCTGTGCCAGTCAAGCCAATAATTCTCAGCTGAATCCTCATCTACCTTGCCAGTTACCAACCTTGGAAGGACAGCAGACAGTATCCAGTTGCATTTAGCTTCCTGTTCCTCTCTATACTTTTTACCCTCTGCCTGTGCAGAGGAAACTACTTTGAGACCACATTTGCAAAGTACTAGCATTAGTTTAATCAACAGATAAAAGAACAAGGAATTAGACATCTTTCATGGGCTACTTCCTTTGATGGTCTCCAAGGGTTCAAAGGTCCCACCACGAGTAATATTGCCTTCAATGGCAGTGTTTAACCAGTCATTTGATATGTCACATCTCCTGTAAAGGACAACTTTGATTGTAGGAAACTAATTAAATCACTCCATTCCCCAAAAGTCCAGGGGAAGTCTGTTTCTGAGCATGGGATGATGACATTAGGCTACTAGAATCCAAATTTGCTGGCAACTACTCAATACAGCCTACAGCAACTAGGGCCATAAAGTCCCATTCCTCACCTTGCCACCCATCCCCATAACACACCCTTATTTTCAATTAAGTCATGAATGCACTAAATAATTCCACATTTTTTTGCTCCATTTTTATAGCCCCTGTCCAAAAATGTCCTAACCCAAGTGGGAATGTCCCCCAAGGGATAATAGTTTGCATCCTCTGCTCCACTTCATTCACTATACAGCCAAAGAAGAAGGGCCAAATTTTCAGTGCTGGTCTCTCAAATGACCACAAGGAGAAGTGTCCCTTCCCAAGGGAGAAGCAGCATGCACTGCTGGGCAAGGCTGCACGTTGATATTCCCAGAGCATCTTCTGCCCTCTACACCATCCCTTCTAGGAATGAAGGAGAGGGCTCCACACAGAGTCAGGACTATCTGCTCCAGACAGGATTCACAGCAGGTGCCCATTAAATGCTGCACATGGCACAGCTCAAAACACATCTGGCTTCCTCCTCCTTGCTGGCAAGTCTAGGAAAGACTGGAGCTTCAGGGCCTTGGGAAAGTCAAGTGGAAGGTGCAGTGCAGGCACCTGTGTCACACCACTGGGGAACAAGCACATTACAAGAAGCTAACTGGTCACTAATTAAGAGCCAGTAAGACAGGTCACAAAGTTCACCCCAGAATCTGAGCTATACAAACATGCTGCTGTCCTCCTATGTCAGTGTCTCGTTGGCTGTGGCTGGAAGACCTGAAGTCATGTTTGACTTGAGGGTGGATCCTGCTGGCTGCTCCTAGTTCCATCCACCTAGTGAGCACAGTTCAGCCACCACAGACACGTATGCATCAGAATACAGGCAAAAAGTGACAAATTTTGACCTGGCCTCCAGGAAGCTTCAAAAACCTAAGTCAAGTCACCTAGGGTTTTACTGTGTCTCCTGAGCCTTTCTGCTCTTCCTCCTCCACCCTTTTTTGCCCCACGCAGGAAGGAGTCCCAGGAATAGCCTGAAACCAAGGAATAATCATCACCTACCTACTGCAGTCCTACAAGGGACTGGGCAGTCTCAGTTTCTGTCCACAGAAGCTGTGGATAGAATCAGACCTGCAGAAAGGGACAGACACAAACAGCCACCTACTGTTGGATGAGGATCTTCACCAAGTTGATATGACCACATGTAGCTGCTGCATGCAACGGAGTCCACAGCTCATTGTCCTTCGCATTGACATTGGCCCCGTGGTTGAGGAGAAGCTTGACTATCTCTTCATAGTTGTCTATGCAGCACTGGTGAGGAAGGGAGGCAGGAAGATTGTTTTTTTAAAAAAGATTTAGGAAGATGAGGGCTCAAACCTGCTCAGCTCCACCTGGATGTTGAAACCTACTTTATCCTGCAGTGTTTGACAATGAGCATCTCCAACAGAATTAAACACTAAACTGAGCACAAGCAGGTCAGAAGGGCACCATGCAGAAAGAAACTGGATGGACTGAAAGTCACTGGTGTTTTACAGGGCCTTCTGGTTTGGGGGCAGAAGCAGTAAGGAAACAATAGCAAATATGCACACAGCTTCTGCTCCATTGGGTCTTTCATATTCAAGAGCAAACAGCAGAAATTCAACATAACCAGTATAACCACATACCAAGGGATGAGCTGACAAGCTGACATTCCCTTTTCTTAAGCAAAATCCCACACACTGGCATGTGATGAATAAAAGTCTTCCCAGCAGCTCACGCTACCTACCAGTTATCTGAACAGCTGCAAGCTGGATTCCAAGAATTATGAGGTCCTTCACAGGACACCTTTCATTTCCTTAAAAAAATGTCATTCACATGACAGCCCCAGAGGCTGCCTGGAAGAAAGGCCCCAACCCTTTTCCTCTGCAGGAGGTAGAATTTGCTCTTTGATCCACCTTGTGCTCACCTCTTGACACAAACAGGTGTATGATAAAGCCACTAAAATAAGCTTCATCCTGGTGCAAGAATCCTGTTTGTGGTCTACATGTCACAGCTCAGCGCTGCAGTTTGGGCTTGTCATGGGGCTCAATTACACCCCACAACAGCATTTTAGCAGCTGAGACACAAGGACCTTTTATGTGTTTCTTTTCTGTATTTCTGTTCATTATTTGTTCAAATCATGCCTGTCACACAGCCAAGTTAGCACAGCAGTGTAACTGCATCCTCCACTGCTAATGGGAAATAACGTTCACTTAGGAGCTTCTCTCTGTTCAGGGGTTCAGTTAATTTTAGTGGATGCAAAGTTTCCACCTGAACTCCCAAATGCACCTTTATGATAACTGACCCTTCAGCAGGCAAGGTGGGATTCCCCAGGTACCTCACAGGTAAACCAGTGAGGCTGTAAGCACTTCTCTTTGTGCAGAGGTAGCAGTGGGACCTTCTGTTTTCCTAGAAGTCAGTTTGCACTTATAAGCAAACATCCACCCAGCTTGGGAGAGAGCAAGTGACTTGCAGAAGAATCCAAAGTCCCAAGTCAATGGGACCATTTACAGCAGGGACTGCTGGCAAGGAACCCACGAGTCCCTGTTCCACCCTCGCAGCCAGGGTGACAACCGCGCCGCTGTGCCCGGTGGCAGCGGAGGCGGCAGCCGGCAGGCACGGCCAGTCCCACGGGCTCCTGCTCCCTGCTGCTTTCACACTGAAAATCAGCACCCATGAGGAGGGGTGGGGATGGGGATAGCAAAAAAACCAACAGAAAATCCCTTTATGGGATCAATGCAGAAGCTCTGAAGGACACAGGCTTTCACGCCGCTGTGGCTACTCTATCTTACTGACAATCCGCTGCCATCTCATACAGACTTTTGGAGGTCCCTGAGCCTCCAGAGAGCAGTGTTGGGCTCTCCAAGCATCCTGTGCATCATTTATCTAAACCAGGTTCAAACCCCATGGGTTGACAAAGTCTCTAAAATTGAGTTAATCTGCTTTAAGAGTTGACAGCCCTGCAAAGATTAAAGGATGGGAGAAATGTTCGCAACCGAAATCCAGCCCCAGTCCCTGAGCTCTGAATGGAGTCTGGGATACAGCAAGAGAAGGGTTTGTTCTCAGTTTGGTCCCCAAGAAACAGGATCACCAGCACAACGTGGTGAAGTTTCACCACTTCAATCAAGCCTGAAAATGAAACACGGGGGGAAGGTGGGACCATGGGGAGCAGGGAGCTGTGCCCTCCTCCCACACCTCACCTGATGCAGTGCAGTTAGTCCATCCTCATTGCACAGATCCGGGCTGACATTGCTCTTCAGCAAGTAACACACTGTGAGGGAAGGAGACAGGAGGGAAGGAGTCAGACCAGTAATACAAACACACCCCTTGCTCTCAAGCCAGCCCTGGTCAGTTCAAGCCAAAGGCAGCCTACACCCTCAGGGTGTCCTGGTGTGGGCTGAGCTGCAGGAGACCCGGCAGCCAAGAGCCCAACACTGGCATGAACCCACAGCACTGGTGAGAAGAAGGCCTTCTTGGTTTTATCCAGCAGAGAGCACCAGCATACAATTTTCCCCCAACTTTTTCCCAGAGGTGGTTTTGCTGTCATAGCTCTCATCTTCATGTGGTTGTGCTGGAACAATCTACATTTTTTGGTTGTGCCTTGCAACACCTGAGTGTAACCTCTGCATGCTGAAAGCCCAGGAGAGCTCGAAGGCAATCAAAGATTTTGGGGAGACTAAGTTACAACTATAAGGGAGATCTCACTGTGGGAGGAGATGAGGTCTTGCCTCAAGAAGTGACCAGTCTGGGACAAGAAGTCTAATGCATCCAGAGGTCTGAGGCATCTAAAATATGCCCGTGTCACTTTGGACACTTCACACAAACTGTTGGGTGTTTGGAGAAAGCTTCCCAAAGGCTTTACTTTTTGTGTCACTGCATTGAAGGGAAAAGGTAAGATTTATTCCATTAAAATGCAAATTTCTGAAACACATGAAAAGCCTTTAGCCCCTAAGTAAAATACAAAGTTTGCTCTGATCTACAGATCCTGCACAGGGTAATAGAAATAAGACTGGCAGAGGAAGTAAAATAATAACTCTTTAAATTCAACGCTGCTGACAGATCTTGATGGTCTATACTCATCTTCTGTTGTTTACGTGCTCATTTCCTGCTTTTTCCTCACTACCTAATGCTTTTCCAACTTCAAATGTCACTGACAGCACAGGCACAAGCCAGAGGTTCATAATCACCTCCCTGGAGCCAGGAGAGCAACAGATATTCAAGTCCCATCTTACTCATTGACAAGGACACAACCATTAAGTGTAACCACAGCTGCAAAGTGAGAAACACTAACAGAACTAAAAGGGCATTAACCACCTCAGGAAATCAAAAAAGCCTGCAAGGTAGGTCACTCCCAAAGCATCCTGCTGTCCCACTGTCAGAGGGAGCTGTTTCCCCAGCACATCACGGCTGTCCCAGGGGACAGAGCTCTTCTGGCATCCAAAGCAGAACACAGAAAACAGGACATCCATGTTGATTTATGGAGCTTTGTTTAAAAAGACCTGGAGAATGCTCTTACAAGAAAGGCAAATTGAAACCAAAGTGACATTTTCTTTGGAAGCCGCTGCTCTGATGTTATCAAAAAGGAAGGCAAACCCAGACAGAAGTAAAATAGAACACTTGATGCCACAGGATTGTTTCACTTGACCCAAAACGAAGGCTGGAATTAACATTTGCTGGAAATAACGTCAAGGCACTGACACTTGCTTGATGAAACTGCTACAAAAGAGCAGAACACAGCAAAGAACAAAACTCATTCCCCCCAACCCTCCTGCCCTGGGGCAAGTCCAAAGAGTCTGAGTTTTTTCCAGCTCAAAGGCCAGAGCAGGAAGCCCACGCCTACACTCAGCTCACACCCCCCAGCCCTTGCATGCTTGACAGTAATAAGAGCACTGAATCCCAGCCAATATATCCAATTTAGTGACTGCTTCTACTGCTTCTGGCCAACCCTGAGCTCCTGCTCTCCTAATCCAAGCTGAGTGATAGGCAAGTCACTCACCAGTGGATCTGGCTGTCTCTTATTTACTTTGGATGCTCTGCCACTAGGGTTTTAATTCAATCTCAGTCATTCAAGAGTCGTTGTGTACTAATGACATGCAGCTCTGTAATCATGTTTTGCCTGATTAGGGAGCTTTGGACAAGTAGATGCTGGTAGATTAATCTTACAAGTGCTGTCCCTCCATGGGTAGAAGCATAAATCTCTGCTTGTTAAGGAGTATCAGGTTTTGTGTTGAAGGCTCTGTGATCATGGCTTGACAGAGTTCATACAAGTCCTCTAAGGGTTAAGATTCAGAGAAGGATTTATCTTACCCTAAAGCAGCTTTCAGTTCTCCACTAACCCTTGCAGCAGTCTTCATGTTCACAGGCATCTCCCTTGGCTCCCATCTGCCCTCAGGACAAGCTCACCACAGCCTTCAAAACCTTTCTCAGTATCTCCCAAAAGTCTGACACACCAAAGTCTGACAACCACAAGACACCAGAAGAGAGCACAGAGAAGTCAGGTAATGAAGCTAGGTATGGATGTGGTACCAACGAGTCCAGGCAAACGTGGCTTGAAGAAGAGATCAAACTCCTTTCCAACCAGTCCTAAGCTGAAGTTTTTATCTCTGGGCTGGGCAGGGGAGCACCAGGCTGGGCAGTGATGAGTCCTGGCTCTTTTCTCTGAAGGCAGAGGGATGTTGCCTTCAGTATTCCTCATGCTCCAGACAAAAAAATCCCAATAATCAGGCAGAAGTCTCCAAGAAGTGCAGTTTTCTATTGCATGTGCCCCCTTTTACAAGCCAAGTGATTTACCCTGCATCCCACCCAGCTTGTAGCAGAACACAGCCCTGATCCCAACACCCCATCCTCCCCAGCAGCAGGGCACAGGGTGGCAAAGAGCAGCTTCATCACCCTCTGCCCCTGAAGGCAGACCTGCAGAGGGACCTGGAGGGACAACATGGACATCCCTGTGACCACTACCCAGGAACACCCCCTCTCACATGGCAGGGAAGAACAACCCCTCCTTTCTGATAAACTTCAGGAGAAAGGAACATTTGTGGGTTTCCAGTGCCTTGAGAATAGAAGGGGGGGGCAAAAACTGTGACCAGCCTGCTCCTCTGCTTAATGCACATCATCAGAGACAAGGATCTGAGCAAGAAAAGTGCTTCTCATCAAGCCTGCTGGTGCCACACATCTCACTGCAAAGCCCAACACCTCTCATCCCAGGCACAGCCCACATCATACTGGTGGGAATCACACAATGGTTTGAGTGGGAAGAGGCCATAAAGATCATCTAATCCCAACCCCCCTGCATGTGCAGGGACACCTCCCACCAGCCCAGGTTGCTCCAAGCCCCATCCAACCTGCCCTTCAACACTGCCAGGGATGGGGCAGCCACAGCTTCCCTGGGCAACTGAGGCCAATGTCTCACCACCCACACAGTGAAGAATTGCTTCCTAATGTCTAACCTAAATCTCCTCTCTTTCAGTTTAAAGCCATCACCCCTGTCCTGTCACTGAAGGTCAGCTGAAGGTCCCTCCCTTGAGCTCACAAGGCCACACAGATTAACCACTCAGCGCCAGCCGATCACCTGCTGTGGGCTAAAGCCTCAGCACAGCATGGGTGAAGGAAAGATTCCCCCTGACACACAAGGTATTGCATGGAAATGGGTCCTCTGTGAGCTGAGGTCACTCCAAACCCGACAGAAAGGGCTTTTATGGGTGACCTGGGCAGGGTCAGCAGCAGCAGCCTCCCCTTGAACACTTACGATTAACTCCTTAAAGAGAGCTCAGGACTTAAAATGCTGAGCTCTTTAAAACCTGTTCTCTGTGTGTGGGCAGGGGGAGGTGGGGAGAAGGGGCTGGGTACATGGATATACTGCATTTCATGTCAAGCACAAGTTGTGGGAAGCAGTTTCAAACGCAGAGCAAGTGAAGGGATGAAAATGATTACAATAAAAGAGCTGGGTGAACAAATTGTTGTGAATAATTCATTGCAAATTATATTAACTGAACAATCACTCAAATGTATTTTCCATTATTCTGCTTGCTCTGCCTATAATTGAACCTCTCACATGCCAAGATGGTGTACATTAATCTTCAATTTATATTTTACCATTCACATCTGTTCTATGTTAAGTGGAGAAAAGTCCCACAACAGCTGTGAAAATACATCCTAGGTTTTAAGTCACCCTCCATCACATGTCCTGGGGCAGTCTCAGACAGATTCTCCTCCCTGAACACAACAAACCTACTTCTCAGGAGCTCACTCTCCACCCAAGTATCTCCAAGCCATGCTTATTTCTCCTCAAAACATGTACATCAGGAGACAAAAAAACCACTGCAAAGACCCTAAGGAAAATTCACCCTGGGCTCATCAGTTCTCACCTGAAGAGAAGTTACAACACTGTCTGTTTTCACCAATGTCACTTCCCACTGAGTTTACACTTGAAGCAACTTTTCCAGAGAAGTTTTTAAACCACATGAAAGCTTTTCCATGGAGAAAAATGCCTTTGCTAGTGCAGTTCTCCCTAAGTCAACAAGCTACACCATAAAATCCTGGATACTATTACACTCCTACTTTTATCCAGCTTTTGCATAGCTCAACTCCTAGAAGGAAAAGCCAGCTTAAACTGATATAGTTAGCAGGGGGTGAAAAAAACCCAACACACCTTTCTGATAGGAGGTCTTGATTCCTCTCCAAAATATATAGTGACAAACTGGACACACTGGCTTACCTGTGTGCTCCAGGTTTACATACACACACAGGCCATTAGTTTTTCAATATACAGGTTTATCATGATCCTTTGCACTCCATGATTTCATTTTTAAAACAATTAAGCTCTTCTAGTTCAGTTTTTTGTTCTCAGGCCACCTTTAAGAGCTACTACTGTACTGAGGTCTCTAGGGTAGTAGAATATTTCTTGTATGTTTGTACCCGATTTCACTGAATAAAATGATGTTTCACTTGGTTTAAGATGCACTTTTGCACATTGCTGGATGTCACTTCCACCCAAGTGCAGCTTTAGTCAAAAACCCAGCCTAGCAGAAGTTCTTCCCAACATTGCTGGTTGTGAGATGCTGGTGGTGCCTGTGCCACATCAGTCTGTTGGCTAACGTCCTTAGCCTGACTGGCATGGTCCTACTGATGGGCTCAGCTATTTCAAAGCTGCATTTTTACCAATAGGGTTTTGCAGGGATATTTATTACACAGGAGAAATGCCAGGAAAACAACACTGAATCTGTAGAGCTCTGACAGCAAAGCATCCAGCTTCCTAACACAGCAGATGATGAT